GGAGGCGGCGGTGGAGGAGGAGGAGGAGGCAGGCGGAGGAGGAAGATGGAGAGGCGGCCCCGCATTCATTCAGGACACTTCTCGGCGGCGGCGCACGCAAGAACCGATGAATGAAAACAATTCGTGACTGCTGTCCCGTTAATGAATGACTCCCGGGGCAGTGGCTCTCTCGGTTTCGAATCGGCCGCGAGCTAATTAGTAGAAGCTTGCGGATCGCCACAATAACTCAACGTCCTTTACGAGCGCGGGCCGCACGTGATTTCCGTAAGTTAAATGGAAGGTGACGTCGCCTGGAATCACCGTACACCTCGTTCCTACACAAGGTGACGCCGTTTTGCTGCCGCTTGTCACCGACGTATTAGACCGAACGTGTGCTCCTTGATTTACAACTGTTCTACTCGCGCTCCTCTTGTTCTTTTGTTCTTTCCTTTAACTGTGTTTCTGCTTCTTTGATTTTCATATTCCGATTCGGATTTTGCTTTATTATTTGTCGTGGAGTTCGGGTGTTTCATTTGATTGCAGGATGATCGTACATGTATATTATGGGTGTTGAGGAAGTAGGTTGGGTAATTTTGGTTGATGATAAGATAGAATGAAGTACACTTTCTAGATATATTCTTAGAAAAATTCTCGTTTGATGATGCATATACGCAAGGTTATGCTTTAATAAGTTACTAATCAGCGCTGAACGGCATTGAATTTATTTTCCATAAAAGTAGTTCCAATTTCAATACATTATATCTTCGTTATAAAGAGGAATATGTTTCACTAAAGAAAATATGCTTCTAGTATTAATAATTGATGAAAGAAAAATCTTTTCCTGTAGCAAAAAAAAGATCTATATTAAAAAGGGTTAAAAAGCTTTAATACGAGTGAAAAGTACTTAACAACAATATTCTTATATTAAAGACATAATCTCATCTGTTTTGTTCAATCATTGTACATTGTACATCTACATAGTAACACTAATTTAACACACAGTGAAACCAATTATCTAAATATGATCCCTATATTACCGTCAAGTAGATGCAAAGGTTTTAAATTGCAATAAAGATCATCTCAATTATCCTGCCAATCTCAGTCATTAAATCAACACCAGCCTTCGTTCTAACCTCGCTTGAAATTCTGTTTCTATGCTCCAATTCATCTTGAATCCATACTTACATGATTGTTAGTTTAACCAGCTGTAAACACGACGGTGAATTTCACCGACGCTACCGACGTCTTTGACGCTTCCTCTGTCTGCTCGTTGTCTGCCGTCGCTTCCTGTCCCAACGTTCCCACAACGCTGAATTTATTCCACGAACCTGGCTATTTCCATCTGAATGGCAGCGTCGACCTTGAATCACGAGTAGGAAGGTTTTTCAGGTTCAGTGTCGATGATCGAGAGTCGAATGTCGACGTTTTCGAGGTCCGTCGGAAGCGGTCGCGGCAGTCTTGAGGTGAGAAAGTCGAGGCAGAGCGTTGGACGATTGAAAATGCTGCGTTGAAAAGCCGAATAGCGTGAAATAGGTGTCATGCAATTCTTTCGAATCGACTAATTACTTATTATTTAATTTTCCTGCTTCGAAAATGGCAATCGCATCGGAATTCATAGAAATGGAATTGGAATCTATTAAAATCAGATTAGAATCTATCGAACAATTCCCTAGGTTCTAACGATAGAACTAAACTAAATTGTTATGTCAGTAAAGGACGCTAAAAGCCCAGCTTGTTACGTTAGTACCAAAGCATTTAAAAATTTACCAAAATCATTTATCAAACATGATACGTTTAAACTTCGCACATCATCCAAGACATCACTCGCGTCGTGATGTCACTACCTATACCCAACGCGTCCACGAAACTATCCTAACATCCACACGATTCCACGAACAAATCCACGAACAACTTCACAAGGACCACTATAATTCCATGCAACATCCAATATTTCTGATCTTGCTTCAATCGTCCAACTTCCCCGGTGCTCAACCACCATCAACCACCTCAACCCTTGGATTCCTCTACCTGCTTCCCTGTATTCAGTCTCGTTCCTCTCGTCGATCCTCTCCTCTCGCACTCGAGAACTTGCTCTATCACCTTTGCCCGCAGATCATCACCAGGGGTCGGGACTCGTGTCGCAGCCACGTTCTCGCGTGTCTCGCCGTTTCGTTTCGGCGACGGAACCGAGCCGGAAAACGCCACTTTCCCGTCCGACCGAGAGACGCCGCTCCTCTTTTTGCCCGGCGAGGGAAAATCGTGCGCGTCGCGGATAAGGTCGGCAGTCGAGTTGGCCGCGAGGGAAGCTGTTCCCCGTCGGCGTAATAGTACGATCCTGGCTGAATTTATTCCACGAACCTGGCTATTTCCATCTGAATGGCAGCGTCGACCTTGAATCACGAGTAGGAAGGTTTTTCAGGTTCAGTGTCGATGATCGAGAGTCGAATGTCGACGTTTTCGAGGTCCGTCGGAAGCGGTCGCGGCAGTCTTGAGGTGAGAAAGTCGAGGCAGAGCGTTGGACGATTGAAAATGCTGCGTTGAAAAGCCGAATAGCGTGAAATAGGTGTCATGCAATTCTTTCGAATCGACTAATTACTTATTATTTAATTTTCCTGCTTCGAAAATGGCAATCGCATCGGAATTCATAGAAATGGAATTGGAATCTATTAAAATCAGATTAGAATCTATCGAACAATTCCCTAGGTTCTAACGATAGAACTAAACTAAATTGTTATGTCAGTAAAGGACGCTAAAAGCCCAGCTTGTTACGTTAGTACCAAAGCATTTAAAAATTTACCAAAATCATTTATCAAACATGATACGTTTAAACTTCGCACATCATCCAAGACATCACTCGCGTCGTGATGTCACTACCTATACCCAACGCGTCCACGAAACTATCCTAACATCCACACGATTCCACGAACAAATCCACGAACAACTTCACAAGGACCACTATAATTCCATGCAACATCCAATATTTCTGATCTTGCTTCAATCGTCCAACTTCCCCGGTGCTCAACCACCATCAACCACCTCAACCCTTGGATTCCTCTACCTGCTTCCCTGTATTCAGTCTCGTTCCTCTCGTCGATCCTCTCCTCTCGCACTCGAGAACTTGCTCTATCACCTTTGCCCGCAGATCATCACCAGGGGTCGGGACTCGTGTCGCAGCCACGTTCTCGCGTGTCTCGCCGTTTCGTTTCGGCGACGGAACCGAGCCGGAAAACGCCACTTTCCCGTCCGACCGAGAGACGCCGCTCCTCTTTTTGCCCGGCGAGGGAAAATCGTGCGCGTCGCGGATAAGGTCGGCAGTCGAGTTGGCCGCGAGGGAAGCTGTTCCCCGTCGGCGTAATAGTACGATCCTGGGGCTGGCCAGCCAGGGCCAGGGGCGGACGTCGGCATGGCAGAATAGAGGGGCTGGCCCCCGCGTGCACCGATGTCGCAGCCACGGGGTGGGGTTTTCGGTGGCTACCCCGACGGGGTAGAGGCGTCGGGACGCCTGGCGTTTGCGCGTTCCCGCGATCTCCCTCTGTCTTCGTTTACGTTACATCCGACCGTGTATGGCGTCCTCGTCTACGACGCGTCGACGTAGCCGGCATCTAGTCGACCTCCGTGCCGGATGACAAGAATCACTTCGAACAACTCGCTTCGCGGGCGTCAATTATGTCATCGGGTTTGTGGGATGTCGAAGGTTCTTGGGTGCTTTGCTTTGGGTGGCTGAGAAGGATGGATGCATTGGGTTTTGGAGCGGTAGGTTCGCAAGAGTTTCACTGTGCACATCCCAGTGCGGAAAAAGAATGGAGGATGGTATTGAAGTTTCTGTATCGGATAGGTGTAATACGTGAGCTTCTGAGTCAAAAGTAATCGAACTGAGTTTTTGTAGATTTTGGAGAATCAAAGTGACTTTCAAGGAATTTAGTCTCCTTGATCCAATTCTGGAAACGATATTGGAAATCTTTAAAACCATCTTTTGCCTTTCGAATGTCTTTAATTCTACGTGAAATGTATTCTCAGTCTTTCAAATATATTTACGTGTATGTGAAAAGAACCTTCAAATCCCAGAATTTTAATAAATAGTACATTCCATCGTTTTCCCTCTGAAAATATTTTGATCTGCCAAATAAAGAAGAATCCCATTTAATTCCGTAAATACGATATCGATATTCCATTTCCTACAGATAAATGAAAAACGAAGTTCAAGTTTAAAATACGGATGAGAAAACAAATAGTCGGTGACGAGAAGAACATCGAACGACGAGAGGCGGCGGAGTACTCGAGCGAGCGAGCGAGCGAGCGACCGGCAGGCACACGAGACCGGC